GGAGCGGTGGGAGCGCGGAGGCTGCAGGCTAGGTCTGCGGGGGACCGCCACGGAGCTCGGCTCCGCGCTGTTGGGGGGTCGCGCGTCCGGGATGATCGTGTGCTTTCTCTCTCTCTTCCCCGGCCCGGTGGTAGCGAGGTGGGAGGAGAGGGAACTCCTAGCTGCCGCGGCGCGCGGGGCCGGGCCCCGGGCCGGCGGCTCAGCTCCGAGCGCTGCGGGTGTCAGCGCCCAAGTTTCTGCCTCCCCAGCGTTCCATCCGCCAGCTCGTCCGTCCACTGCGCGTTTCCCCCGGAAAACGAAATGCACGCGCAGCTCTCCGCACTCCACGGTGCTGCTTACCAGCAGTTATTAAATGCATCTATGCATTTTTCGGTGTGGAGGATCCGAGCTTCCTTTGTTTTTTTTTTTTTTTTTTTTTTAGTTCTTTGTCCCCGATCTCCTAGTATGTGCTTGAAAAGAGCTGGTGAAGAAAGTGAAAAACTATTCGTTTGAGGTTTTTCCTGTTCCCTTCCTGCTGAGTGGGCTTTCCTCTAACCCATTGTAGCCACTTTACAAAGAACAATTTAATCCTGCAACCAGAGAAGTGGGAAACACACACACACACACACACACACACACACAAACTTGTGAGTATATATGGAATGAATTTGTCTTGAAGAGAGTCACTGGAACTCCCAAGTCTTCAGGATCCCCTAGCCTTAAGAAATATTTCCTCTCTCTTCCTGAAATTTAGGCCTCTGCAGAGAGCCGGGAAATTGCCCATTGTCCGGCCAGCCACCCTCAACGCCTTGGGTTAATGCTCCTACTAGACTTACTTTCATTGAAAAGAAATGAGGACAACCATTTCCCATGAACTTACATGACATATTTTATTATGACATGAAAGGGATATTAGAAACAAGTTTCTTTCTGCGGCAAATATATTACCATTGGGATCTAACAGATTATGTCTGCACTATTTTGAAAGACTACTTGTAATTGTTATTGTATAACATTATCAGACCCTACAAGAGGAGTAACAACTAAGTGGGAGAAAACTGAAAGCCAGGCGTAAATTCATCTGAAGGGAGTTTTTATAACCTATTAGGTAAAATTCCTTTATTCACATTAAATATCTCTGCCTGGGGTTGGAAAGAGGAATGACAAAACAAAGAAAATCTCATCAAATTTAATTTGCTACTTGAGTTAACTTGATGATATGATGCAAATTGCTTCATACTAAAACCTCCTCAAGTGATACCCAGTATGACTTATTTCCCCAGATGCAAGTGTAACCCTTACTATGAAAGGTGGACCTTGGCTTTTGGTTTTGTTGTTGTTGTTGTTGTTTTGCTGGTCCTGGTGCTTGAACTCAAGAGCTTGTGTGCTGTCTGTGAGCTTTTTTGCTTTTATTCTGGCTTTTGTGTGGGTGTGGGTGAGTGCTTCATTGAAGATGAATCTCATGGACTTGGCTGGGCTGGCTTTGAACCTCAATCCTCAGATCTCAGCCTCCTGAGTAGCCATGATTACAGGTGTAAACCACCAGCACCCAGTTCTCATTTCTTCAACTCTAACCAGAAGCCATGATCTCATCTAGGCATTACAAACTTCATAATGTCTTCTTGAAGTTCTGGTCTCCTATGTTCTTCATCTTGAGGGATCTTGAAATAAAAAATAAAATTTTCCTTTTTTATGTTTAAATTCTTTTTTAATTAATTTACTTTATGATTATAAAGGTGATGTGCAGAGGGATTACAGTTACATAAGTCAGGGCCATTTCCTTTCATACAATGTCTTTTGTTCCCTCCTGTCGCTGCCCATGAGTTGTATAGTTCACTTTCATCAGTGTCCAGTGAGCTTCACTGCTGCACTTTTACATTTGAATACACCATACATAAAAGAAGACAAAATCATCAAAAAGTAAACATTTTTAAAATTTTCACTAAGTGCAGCGTTTTGGTCTAGGCCATTGATGGAGAAATACATGGACTCCCTCTCAACTCTCTTCTTCTTCCTCCTCATAACTTATTGGTGATGTTCTGTGGGGTGTTCTGTGAGAGGTATGGAAAGGCTTTGGTACTGTAATCTGATATTGGTGGTTCAGTAATAAGGTCTGTGACTCAGGCGTAAATGTAGTTAAAGGGTTGGACTAGGTCTGGAGTCGGACCCTTTAGAGGATATTTGTGTCTTTACAATAATAGTCTAATTCCTGTGTTTATCGAAACAGCAGCAACAACAAAACTCTGTCTTTAGGTGGAAGATGGTGGTTCATTCATTAGACAGGGCATCCCTATACTTTGGTGGCTTTGAATAAGTTTTCTTTGCTACCGGGGTCAGAGCACCCCCATTCTTATATTGCTTGACTTTCAGATACTGTCTGAACATGATATCATAAATCCCTCTCCAGCACTACAGCCCTTTACATGAAAATAGGTCATAGGGGCCTTAGATTTGCTTAGCAAGTGTTCTACCACTTGAGCCTTACCTCCAGGCCCTTTTTGCATTGGCTGTTTTCAAGGTATGCTTTATTCCTGGGTCTGCCTGGGCTGTGTTCCTCCTGCTTGTGCTTCCTGTGTCGCTGGTGACGACAGTGGCACCCAGCTGTTGTGTTTGCCCTATAGCTTTGATAATAGACATATATCAGTCATTGGTTGAGAAGGAATCTCACAGTTTCCTGGCTCTCATCTCCCAGCTAACTAGGATTACAGGCTCGAGCCCACACTTGGCTTCATTCTCACTCTCATTTTGTTCCAGTAGAACAAACTTTGCTTTTCAATCCTAGAAAACCTTCTCCCTCTCTTTTTCACTCCCTCTTACCTTCTCTCTCCTCTCTCGCTCTCACTCTTGTGCTGGTCCTGGGGCTTAAACTCAGCTGGATAATATCTCTGAGCCTCATTTGCTCAAGGCTAATGCTCTACTACTTCTGACAGGGCTTCACTTTCAGCATTTTGGGGAAAGTCTATTAGAGATAAAAGTCTCACCAACTTTTCTGCCCAGACTGGCTTTGAACTGCAATCTTCAGCTCTCAGCCTCCTGAGTAGCTAGGATTACGGGCATGAGCCACCAGCACCTGACTAAACCACTCTTTTCTAAGACTGGAAGCTAATAAGAAATCTGGAAGTTGTTATGTATTGTTTGTATTTTGGCAGTTTGGGGGTTTTGTTCTTGTTTTTATCCTTTTCTGTTTCCATAAGATCCAAAGTTTGATGATAATCAAATACAGTCCCTCTTGCCCTGTCAAATAACTGTGTTTTTGTGAGCCATTTATTACTGCTTCACCTAAGAGACTGGTCCCATTTTGTCCTTAAGATTAACTAGTTTGCTCCTTTTGCCAAAAAAGTATGACACCTCTTCTGCCAATTAGCCTTAGTCTTGAAGATTCAAGTGGGAGAATCTCTCATTTGTGGGGAAAGGGTACTGGTCAATTACCAACTCCCATTTAAAAGGATAGACAAAAGCTGAGCACCACCAGTGGCTCACACCTAAAATCCTAGCTACTTGGGAGGCTGAGATTTAAGGATGGAGGTTTGAGGCCAGCGTGGGCAGGAAAGTCCTTAAGACTCACTCATATTTCCATTATCTTCCCAAAAAAGGAGAAGTGGAGCTGTGGTTCAAGTGTTAAGTGTGCTAGCCTTCAGCATAAAAGCTCAGGGACAGTGCCCAGACCCTGAGTTTAAGCCTCAGGACCAGGGCAAAAATAAAAATAAAAGATGGACAAGAAAAGTTGGCTTGCTTTGACCAAATTATACCATAAATGGTTCCTTTTTTTCCATACTGAGGAATAGATGCCATAGTCTTGCTCATGTTAGGTAAGTGTTCTACCACTCAGCCACATTCTTAGCCCCATAGATGGGATTTTAAGAGGCAGTGAGCTTATGTAATTGAGTTTCTAGAGTTTCTTCATCCTGACCATCTGCCAGCTGATATTTTCTGAAAAATAACTTACCTACAATTAATCTTTCTATTTCCCAGAATAGTTGCCTTTCTTTTTCTCTCATGTACATGTGTATGTGAGAGATACATTTGACTCAAAATATTTCAGTATGAATAGGATCGAGATCATTTGTTTCATCTTGTATACTGGAAAGATTTTCTTGACTCTTAAATTTGCTATTTTCCCTAGTCACTTAGATGTAAGGGCAACTTGGTAAGCCTATCTAACAAGGCCACGGTGCTGGTTACCACCTTGTTTAGATAGCACTCCCATCTTGAACTGAGGTGAACTACATACTGGGAAGTTCCTGTGCTGTACAGTGGTTAGCAGGTAATTTTTACCTTGCAGTTTTCTTAGGAGAAATGAGATTTTTGAGTTTGATCAACAGAGTTTGCCAAAATTTAGTTCTACTTAAATAGGGTAAAAAAAAAGGCTTTTTGATTGTTAGCATGCTTATCTAATTCCCTTTTATTCGGAGGCAGGGTCCCATTGAGCCTTTTGCAAGCAGAGTGATTAGAAAGACTGAAGAGACTAAACTGCCAAGGGTTTCTTACCTCAGAATTTTAATATTCTCCACTTTCTCAACGCTTTGTTTTGTTACTACTTACGATTAGATCATGGTTTTTAAGAAAGTCGCCACTTTTTTTTGTCATATTAATGCTTTCATTTTTTTATATCTCAGAATGAGGTTCTTTCCTTCTTTTTCCTTGAAGAAAAGCTCTCCTAAGTGTTGGTATGAGTTACTTTCACATACAAGCTTTAATTCTCCAACCAGAATGACAGACTTTCTAATATAACTAGATTTAGACTGTCATTTTCTTCTTTTGTTTCTTGTTTTACCTATTAGAAAAAAAAGGGATATTT